CAGGGCACTAAACCTTACCCCATGTGGGGGGGACGTGCCTGGGCGCTGTGCCCTCCACTCCCTGCACCGAGCAGACCCCAGTGCACGGCCAGACCCTCAGCTGCCCGCCCGTCCCACGGGTCTAGCCGCAGTGGATGGGCGCGAGGGACCCGCGCGAGGGCGCCACAAGATGGGGAGGGGGAAACCGCAGCGGGAGAGCACAAAAACGACTCCTCCAGCCCGCCCTGCTATCCTCCGAAGATGTGAGCTTCCCACCCGACGTCTGGCTTGCCCAGCTGCCTGCCAAGCAGCGGGACGGCCCCGCAGCCAGGCGCAGGCAGGGCCGAGCTGCTAGCTAGCCCTGTGCCCCCCCTACCCCCCGGGAGTCACCGTGTAAAACTCGAAGCAGAACCGAGCGGCTCAAAAACGACTCCTCCAGCCCGCCCTGCTATCCTCCGAAGATGTGAGCTTCCCACCCGACGTCTGGCTTGCCCAGCTGCCTGCCAAGCAGCGGGACGGCCCCGCAGCCAGGCGCAGGCAGGGCCGAGCTGCTAGCTAGCCCTGTGCCCCCCCTACCCCCCGGGAGTCACCGTGTAAAACTCGAAGCAGAACCGAGCGGCTCTTGGGCTGCTCCTTCCGTGCACTGGCGTGACCTGCACAACCCAGCCCCTGGTGATCGCCTGCATCTCTCAGTGCCTTCAAAGCAGCTCTTGATTGATGTGTTTCCCTGACTCACAAGCTTCAAGAGGCTTTGAAGACACTGGGCCAGGCTCTGATCTCTCTTGTGCTGATGCAAATCAGGAGCAATGGTGCTGACAACAGTGCAATAATCCACACTGATGTCAAGCCAGTAAAAATAAGAGCAGAAACAGAGTTCTGGTCTTTCCCCTGCCTTGAAGGGATCTGAGCAGCACTGTGAAGCAGGGAGCTGCAAACCCTGCAAAGAAAACTCGGTGTAAGGCAAAGGACGTGTAGCTCTGTAGAGGGCACTTGTCCTTTCCTGCAGCTGAGGAGGGAAGGGTTGTTATGATTTTAATATTTTTTTAACAGTTAAGAAAGTTTCTCACTGAGAGTTCAGTGAGAAATGCAAGCTCTCAGCCAGTGGCACCATCGCAGCCAGGATGAGGCTTCGGGAAGGCCCCAGCAATGCTGGTTTCAGCCTGGCAGCAGCACACACGGGTGTATTTGCCCTCCTTGTCTGAGACTGGCTGAGGGCACGAGTGCTGCAGGCAGCGCCTGGGTCACACTGATTTAGGGGCACGAGGAGGATGGGTTATCCTAGGGCAAACCAGGATGTGGGAGGCAAGAGCTGTGAATGTCCCTAGACAGGCAGGACACCAAAAAGCTGGGCATCGCCTTTTGTCTGGGGTGTCTCCAGTCTGGGAGCCATGCCCCCCTGCTCACAGCCCCCCTGTTGCCCTCTCCCCAGGTCTGGTTTCAGAACCGGCGAGCAAAATGGCGCAAGCGGGAGCGGTTTGGCCAGATGCAGCAGGTCCGGACCCACTTCTCCACCGCCTACGAGCTGCCCCTGCTCACCCGTGCTGAGAACTACGCCCAGGTGAGAGCATCCCCCCACCCTGGTCCTCCTGTCCTGATGGACACATCCCCTCTGCTTCCAGCCCCCCTCCAAGTGATTCTTCGCTTTTTGGGTTCATCCACCTGCCCTCAGACAAGGCTGCAAGAGCACTGGGGCCATAATGCCAAGCACTGAAAGGCCAGGAGTTATTTAGCGGGGTGTTTTGCCTGGCTCCCTCATGCCCTGGCCTGGAGCAGCCATCTCTGAAGCAGGCACCAAGCCCTGTGTGAGATAGTGCGGGCACCCTTCGGGCACAGGTCACCCTGCTCAGCACATACCATTATGCTGTCCGTCTCCCACTGGTTTGGAAAAGGTCCAAAAGGTTATTCATGGCTAAAAATCAGCAGTTCCCAGGGAGGCTTCCTGTTGCCATTGTCTGCGTTTCCATGCCCCTTCTCCTGGAGGCTGGGCAAAAGCCTTTTTCCCCCTAGCAAATTCCCACAGCCATCTCCCAGCAGTGGGCTGTGGTACCCACAGCGCACTCAGTGTCATCTGGGGATGCTTCCCAAGGGGCTTGTGGGTTTGTGCTCCAAACAAAGGGTGGGAGCAACCTTGTTGGGGCATCTGGGGCTGTTCCCAGTGTCTGTCAAAACCATTCGTGCCCTGACCCAGGGAGGCAGGTGACAGCTTCTTCCCTCCTTAGCTTCCAGTCAGTAGCCTCCTAAGCACTGGGCCAGCCCCCATTTCACAATGCTGCCTTCAGATGCTGCCAGGGTGGACAGGCATCCCTTAGCTCGAGGGCTAGGCTGTGGCCCCACAAAACACTCCATCCTGCCGACTTCCCTTCCCGCCACCCAGAATTTGCTGGAGGGTGCAGTTCTGCAGGCGTGATGCTCTGAACCCAACTTGTCCTCGCAGATCTGCTGAGAGTCCTACCTCATGATGCCCCAGCTGTCAGCTACCTCCCAGCCAGCACTGCACCAAAGCTCCCCCGCAGCCAAGCCCCAAGCGTTTGACCTCTCTCCTGCTTGGCATCTCCCCCGAACTGAACAAGAAGCCCTTATGAAACAGCTGAGAGATGCCAAAGCAGCTTTTCAAGCAGAGGACACTCTCAGCAGCCCTTTCAGCACTCCCTTCTCTTGCCTTTGTAACTTACAGTGCTCCCTCCCTCAATCCTGCCCTCCTCTCCCAGCCCTAGCCATCCAAAAAATGAAAAGCAATTTGCAGAAGGTAAGAGAACAGAGAGGGCCCAAGGACAAGCAGTGCAGTGGGGCGGTGGGATGAAGGGCCCTTTGCTCTCTTCCTCCAGCCAGCTGCTCTCCTCCTCCCTGCTTTCATCCCGTGTCCCCTCCTGGCACAGCACACCTACTCCCAGCAAACACTGAGCCCCCTCTCCTCTTCTGCAGCATCATTTAGGGAGTGATGCTGCAGGGGCCCTGTGAGGCAGCCCCACAGGGCTCTGCTTGGGGTGGGCACTCAGGGAGAGGGGCAGGGAAACTGCCTGCGGGCAGCTCAGCTCCTGCGGGCATGTCTGGGTGGTACAAAACCCCTTTGCCTAGGACATGCTGCCCCAAGCTGGGGCGGGAGGGTGGATCAGCAGTCTCACAGCATCCCCTTGGCCTGTTCTCTCTGTAGTGGGTAGGCCCATGGGAGCACCATGGATGACACCACGTTTTCTGTGCCATGAGCACCCCTCCTCCAAAAAGTGCTAATGGTGAAAAAAAACTACAAGAGAAATGGCGGGGAGGGGGAACAGACAAGCAGAGAGATACTGTGGCAGAGCCAGGGCGCATCCCGGCTGCCCTGCGAGTTAGTCTCCTGCACTCCCTGCCCCTGAAAGGGACCCTCTAGCCCCAGGGGGGCTGTGGATGCCACTGCCGGGTGGTGGTGGGGGCCAGGGATGGAGACGCTCTCTTCCCCCCCAGCCAGCCTGCGCGGGCAGCCCTGATACTTGGTTTCCCATCCCCAGATCCAGAACCCCTCCTGGATTGGCAACAACGGCGCCGCCTCCCCCGTGCCCGCCTGCGTCGTCCCCTGTGAGACAGTGCCCTCCTGCATGTCCCCCCATGCTCACCCCCATGCCACCGGCGGCGTCTCCGAGTTCCTCGGCGTCTCTGGCCCCGGCAGCCACGTGGGACAGACTCACATGGGCGGCCTCTTCAGCACGGCCGGCATGAGCCCTGGCCTCAACGGCTACGAGCTGAACAGCGAGCCGGACCGCAAGACCTCCAGCATCGCTGCCCTGAGGATGAAAGCAAAGGAGCACAGCGCCGCTATCTCCTGGGCAACATGACAGGGTTGCAGCCCACTGCCCGCGAGACACGGAGAGAGCACACGGGGACAGCCGAACACACCCATCCGCTTGGACTCCAGACAGCAGTTGCCTCCTCGGGGATCTGAATGCAGCACTTTTAGCTACCCTAGGCATATAAAGTACATACGTTAATGTAAGTGGAGTGTTTCTAGCATGAATGCGGCAGTTCCAGGCTTCCTGGGATCAGGTGGGAGAAGGAGGCTGTGGCACATCTCCTCTTCCAATGAGATCTGGCTTGGGATGCGTCCCTTCTCACCGCCACCTCCCCAGTAACCTGGGCATTGTTTCTCCCTATTCCTTTTTCTGACACCAGGGCTGCCTTGCCAAAGAGCAGGAGCCTGCTGGCATTTCAGCAGCTTCTCCCATCCCGTCACATACACACTCCCACCCTCTCCCTCTCGCCCCCTAACTTGTCGACAGTGTTGTTCAGATCTATGCTGCCCTGGGCAGGGGACTGGATGGAGACTCTGGCACCAGCAAAGAGACACCTCTCGGGCTGTTCCCGTCCTCTCAGCGGGAGCCGTGACTTCCCAGCAGGGAACAGGGCTGGGAAGATACCCAAGGCTAGGAAGAAGGCGACGTTAGCCCACCTCCTACCCTGTTTCCTCTCCATCTTGCAGTCTGAGGTGAAGCGCAGAGCCGCAGAGGCCTGTGAAGGGGCTGCCTCTCGTCCCAACAGCGCGGTGCTACCCCACTGGCAGGCTGTGACAGCGCTCTGGTTGCCTGGCCGGAGATGCGCCCCGGCAGACAACAGCCCCCCAGCACAGCTCGCTGCCCCAGGGAGCCTGGGGTTCGCTTTGCCATGGTCATGATCAACGTTCAGGCTCCCCTGCATGGTGGGGTAGCAAAGTGTTTCCTCTGGCTTTCACTGGGTCCTCAATTTCAGGACAGCTGCTAGGGGAGGGGAGTGCAGCTGCTGTGTAAATCCACAGGTCCCCAAAGAGACTGCTCTGAGAAACAGCTCACGTGCTAGCACAGAGCCAGGGTTGTGTGGGGCCGTCGTGCACCTTGTCCTGGGGCATGTACGTGCAGTAACGGCCCCTCCCGGCAGCTCTCCACACCAGGGCCCCGTTGCACGCAGCCACTGCAGGCATCTCCACACTGGGGACGGCGCAGGGAGCTGGGAAGGCACCCAAGGCTGGACGGGGTGACACTGCCCTATGTCCAGCCACCCCAGACCCTCTTCACCTTGCAGAGGAAGCAGGAGACTCCAGAGCTTGCCTGGTTTGTCGGAGCCAATGTGCCTCCCCACCATCCCCTCCCAGTGCTCCTACCTGCACAGCGTTGTTAAGTAAGATGTCCTTTGCAAGGCTAAATCTTTTCCAAGCTTTTCAATGATATTGTAGTGGTAAGAATAATTTTAGAACATCCTTTCACCTCACTGAAGTATCACCAAGGGGAAGCTGAAGGTCAGTTGAGCACTGTCACCCACAGCGCGTGGCTACGCAGGCTGAGCTTGAGCTGGGGCAGCCGTCTCGGAGATTCACAAGGGAGCTACAGATTTTACTCTCGTAACAATTTGTATCGCCCTGCCCTCCCTCCTCATGCTCAGTGTTAGTTGGTTTTGAATCTCAAGGTCCGGCAATATTTAGCGGTCTTGGAAAAGGCTCCAAATAAGCTACAACCAAATGTGAGGTTTCAGGTTAACAAGGTACACACAAGTATTTCTGTAGTGCCTAGACTGCCATACCCTACGTAAACGACACACCATTGCTCGATCAGATGTAATATATATTTGTTGGAATAAGAAAAGACCAGCAGTACCGTCTCTTTTCTCTCCTCAGAAATGCTAAGAGGTGCCTTCCTTGGTGCTCGCGGTGACCCAGTGTGCATTTAAGCGCCCCACGCGTACGACCAGGGCCTCTCCCACCACATCCCATCACAAACCAAACATTCAGCTGAGCCATCGGGCATGATGGCTTAGGTGCTAAAAGTGATGCTCATTGCTGAACCAGACAGGATCACACTGACCAGGTGGTGTGTGTCACCCCCACCGGCCACCCCAGAAGCCACCGAGGGTCCCCGACCACGCAGGAACCAGTGGTGGGAGGCGTTTTTTGTGCAGGCAGCTGACTGCCATGCCAAGAGCCTTTTCCCAGGTACACTGGGGAGCGTGATGCATCCTACGGGCCACAGGCAACCCCATGGAGTGCCGCTGCCCAAACAGCCTGGTAACAATACTGGCAAGGCAAATCGGCAGTGGGCAGAGCTGAGGAAGCAGATGGGGCTGGCAGGCGGTGGGGCGTGCCAAAAAGTGCGTGGCCTGCAGGTACCGAAGGCAGCTCCAATGAAGGGCTGTAGCCATTCAAGAGCTCAGCTGCATTCCCTACAGAAGTTAAAGGGTAGATTTTCCTCATGGACTTTCATGGGGACAGGATTTCACTGGAGCTGTTTAACAGCCCAGAAGATTAAGTGCTGTATCCCTTGTCTTGTTAGAGAGAGGAGTCTCCTGGCAGCAGACTTGGCATTTACAGAGGCTTGGCCCCCATTTTCTCTCACCTTAAATTCCATGTGCAAAGCACATGTTAGACTCACTCAGTCTCTTTCAAACACCACTGCGCACGCCCGGCCCTCAGCCTGCCTGAAAGCATCACGCTGAGAAGGGGGGGTGCTGTCCCCCGGCGTCCCCTGCTGCAGGGCTCCCTTCCTGCTGCTGTCCGGGCTCTGCCGCGCATCTCCGGGTGCTGCAGCCCCTGGTGCCTGCACGCTGGAAGGTGCTCCCCTCCAAAGCCTCCAAACGCAGCCATTCAGGCAGCTTTTAAGCTATGTGCATCTTTATTTACACACATTTTTTAAATAAAGGTTTTTTTTAAATTAGCTGTTAAATTAACAGGAAAAACTGTATAAATATAT